CGTCTTCGATTCCGCTCCCGGGCAGACGCTCTACCTCTTCCTCGACCTCAAGAGCACCTCCCCGCTCTTGTTCCCTCTGGTGCTAGACGCCTTAAAGCCGCTGAGGGAAAATGACTACCTCAGCTACTATGCCAACGGGGCGTACCATCGACGGCCGGTGACGGTCATCGGCACCGGCGCGATGCCGATGGACAAGGTGGTCGAAATGCACCCGCGGTATGTGTTTTATGATTTTCCACTTGACCGGTTGGTGAGGGAGCCTGAGCTGGAAGTGGAGAAGGGGGTGGTGGGGATGGCGAGTACGAGTTTGAGGATGGTAGTGGGGGAGGTTAGGGGCGTGGAGGGGATGGATAAAGAGCAGGTGGAGACGGTGAGGGCGTTGGTGGGGGAGGCGAGGAAGAGGGGGTGGGGGGTGCGGTTTTGGGATACGCCGGGGTGGCCAGGGAGTAGGAGGAGGGGTGTGTGGAGGCAGTTGGTGGAGGCGGGGGTGAGGCTAGTGAGTGTGGATGAGGTGGAGGAGGCCGCATGGGAGTTGTAGGTGAGGCTAGTGAGTGTGGATGAGGTGGAGGAGGCCGCGTGGGAGTTGTAGGTGATGAAGGTGGATGGGTTGATACCGGTAGATCGTGTTGGTTGTTCAAGTTGTATATCTCCACACAGTCCATAGTTGTTTAGTATCGTAGTTATCTAGGTGGGACCTAGTCACCATCACGGACGCACCGTCAATAGAGACGTACTCCGATATCGATACCTATACTCCGAGTCGGTGGACATGATTTGGAATAACCATTCCCATCCAGCGATCCTTTAAATCGCCAAGTCGAGTCTATTCAGGGAGAGAAATGTCGCTTGAGAAGAAAATAGCAAGTGCTCGATAACTAGACGTATAGTTAAGCGTCAGATTCACCTTTTCCGGCCAGACTTTGCGATACCGCCCATTATTCCAACCGAGTGATATCTCGTGAAGATATATTTTCGACCCCGTGATGGCACATTAAAATTCTACGATGTATGAGTGTTGTATGATAGGATAGTTAAACAACTATTCACACTATGACTATACTTAACATCCGGGTATTAAATAGCGGCCGGGGTTGTAGTTACAAAGTTTGTGCTCCCGCCATTCAAGTTGACGATCACACGCGGCGGTGGCGGGAGGAGGCGAGACGGGGACGGGACGTGGCATGAATGAACACCAGGAACACCAGGAGCATCAGGGACGAGTTACACTATGGTACCCCTTCCCCACGATGAATGTAAGGGGAGGGGATTCGTCTGATGTTTTTGACAATTGGGATATTCTATTGCTGGTGGTTTTACATCCACTGCATACAGCCGCAAGTGTCCGAGCTTCGCTGTCACCAAGCTCCAAATTGACAAATTCGGTGTGTCGGGTCCAGCAGCCAACACAAGCACCAGCACAATCACTCACGATCACGATCACGATCTTTTCCCACGGACAAAACATGCTCTTGTCAAGGCCGGCGGCGGGTTGTGGTGCTTCTTGGAAGCTCTCCCCGCGCTAGCCTGGATGATCAACACAGGCTTGCAGGCGGTGATGATGGCGCAGCAGTTGTTGTCGTCGGCCCGATGTGTAGAGTATAGAGTGAGTGCCGTATCTTTGTGTGTACGACGAGGACGTTTTATCTCTCAATCACGCTGGGTTTATATTCCATTCTTCACATGCATTTTTCACGATGCCGGGGAAAGAGGGAGAGCTGGGTTGCCACGGTGAAGCACAGGCTAGAGGAGGTGACGTTGGCTCTCGCTCTCCGCGGTGATGTAATCTGGCGGCTGGCGCGGGCTGCTTTGGTGGGTCCTGCAGTGGCGCGAGTGATGACGAGGGATGGAGGGATATGATGTTGCTGATGATGATGGTGAAGCCGGGGGTTGTCTTGTTGGGAGTTGAAGACCTGGGGAGGTCGATTCCAGGCAGAGAGAGAGAGCCCCACCATATGACGCCCCAAGCGGGGTAAAGCTGAACAGGAATCAGTGTGGAGCCGTGGAAAGCCTATTAAGGAGTCCCTGATCGCCCGCACAGAGCACACAGAGTCACAGAGTCGTCTTGAACTGTAACTGATATCACACCGCTGCTGACTGTCCTTCTTACCTCTACTCTTGCCCCCACACACAACAACTGCTCTTCTTCTCCTTCTTCTTCCTTCTTCTTCCTCCTCTCCTCGCATCTCTGCTATCCCCTCTGCTCTGCTCATCTCCTCATCTCATTTATCGATATCTCACCACATCAACTCACCGCTCATCACCCTTGCAGCCGAGCTCCCTCCCCCCC